GGGAGTGCCTGCCACACACTGCAGTGGGTGGCAATGTCTTCATTAGGCCTCTCCTACTTCTCCTTTCTCTCCCGCCATCCCATCAATATCAGGGGAATTTCCCAGACAAAAGCCTTCTGCTCAGTTCCTAATGAATTAAACATCCATCTTAGTTAATTTTGAGCATTTCTCCAGCAGTGGCTAATTGCTGCGTAGCAGAAAGATGACTAAACAGGTGTGCAGAGACCTGGGTTTATGCCCTTGGCTGACATGTTACATTTTGGAAAGCGAGGGGTTGAACTGAACCTGATGATGCTGACATTTCCCTCATAATCCTGAAATTGAACTACTACATCTGGAAATGCTCGGGCCCTCTTCAAAGGGCCAGTTCTGCATCAGCTTGCCGAGAGGCTTCCAGTATCAACAACTTCAGTGCCTTCCTCTTCTAAGGCAAAGATGTAAACAAGAATGACTTGTTCTTATTTTTATTACAAAGATCTCCACTAGTTATATTTTCTAGAAGGACTCTATGAAGTCATGTCCAACATTTGCAACCGTATGCATATAAATACTTAAGTTCACTGTAGCACTCTATCTCCAACAGTAAAACATCCGTGTGAAAAGGCGCTTCCTGCCCTCCACAAAAATTTGTGGCACAGAACTTCATCACATCCAAATGTGAATGAAATGTGACTCACACCCAAAATGTGTTATCATTTGCATAGATACTCTATTAAAAACTGGAGGCTTCTTTGTGTTTACAGCTGCATAACATCTCAGGCATGTGTAAGAAATAAATCATAACTGAAACTGGTGGTGGCAGCATCCAATGGGTTAGAGAAAATTACTTCTATTTTACTGATGAAAATTCCTATCAACAATACTTTATTTTCTATGTCATCATATAAATAGCCCATAAAGTCTCTGTCGGGTAACACCCACTACCGCTGTTACATAACAGCTCTAGAGGGATGTTTTGAGTGCGCAGCATAACCACTATTACGACCATCATCAAAGAACAATAATATATGTCCAAACCCTTTAACACTTTTGGAATAGAGCAGGGAGACAGGAGAAGAGCAGAGACGAGAACAATGGGTAAAAAGCTAAAACGAGCATATGCTAATATGTACATCTTCAGAATACTCACACTGGCAGTTTTGGAAAAACTGGCCAAAGTTTTGGAGCCTATGTGAACTTCAGTGTTCAGTTCAGAGATTTTCCCCACCAAACTCCCCCATCTAGCGCCAACCAAACATGGGGTCCGGATTCCTATTATATCTTTGGGAATAAAGCAGCTAAAAGATGACTTGGAAACAACCACTTCCTGTGGGTTTGAAATAAAAATTTACAGCCTCATGCAAAAAAAGATCTGTAAAGGACAAAAGTCTATCCGCCCATTGAACTCTTCAATAAGGTTTGCCCAATTCCCCACAATTTGCCTCAAATGGAGCAAAATATTTTCCTGGCATTATCACATGCAAGAAAGAGTGGCAAATGTTCTTAAAAAGGTTTATGTAGTTATTGGGCAAAGGAAAGCATGACGACCTGTTAGGGCCAACGGTGAAGAAAACAGGAAAGATATGACTCATGAAATGAAGATGGAAATTCATATGCTGAATCTTAAAGGCTTTATCAGTCCTCAAATCAACAAGTATTACTATAGCGCGGTGGCTGGGAGGGGAGCGCCACACCGACCGAGAGCTCACGGCTGGCCTGGATTGCTACCTTTGATGAATTGTAGTTGTACAATGACCTCGTGTTCTTTACTGGGGTGCAGGAAGTCCTCACTGCCATTCTTTAGTCCCTGGGAGTTAGCAGATAGTTGCGGCAAACTGGCTCCTAACACCTGTCAATGGACTCCTTACATCCTGGCACTTTCATCTTGCGCCTGGACAGGTACATTTGTTACCCCATTTCTTTCCGTTCCAGCAGGCTTGTTCACCTTGAATAGAAATTCTCTTCCACACATTTCTTCATCTCTAGAGGAAGTGCTGCTACAGGAACGAGGCCAGTGGCTGCCACCTCTCATACTAACATTATGCAAAGCAAAACAGTACTTAAAATTTGAAACCATCTTTACTCAGTGATCAACACCAGTCTGACAGCTCAACCGCGGACACTGCCATTAACAACCTACCAATTGTCATGCATTTTTTGTAAACTCCAGCCTCTTCATCTTTTACTGAAGGTTAACTGCTTCTCTGATGAACAATATTTTTTACCTGATTGAAGCATTTGCTTGCTAACCCGACTTCACAAAATCACCCAACATCACTCACATAAAGTAACTGCAGATCCAACTCACTCCTGAGCCAAGCTAGTGTTGAACTTCACATCTAATTCTATAAATTATCCCACACTTCTATTTGGGGGAGAGCAAATATCACTTTCCCTTCATCTCCACTGCCAGCATGAGTAAACTTCCTGGATGTTCAAAGCCAGTATTTCACAAAGAAATAGTGAATGTTTATCACTTAATCAGATGTAGATGTTGGGTGATTCAGTGGGCTGCTCCCGAGCCAGGTGATTTATTTGATTTATTCCCATATACCAGCCTCAAAGCATTTACTTAAGGATGAGTCAAGGTAGTACATACAACAGGAATTTTAACTAACTTATGACCAAATAAAGCACATGTAATAAATCCATGTATGCTCTTGCTACAATTTAGAAATGTCTCCATGTCTCAGTACATGTGTTTCAACCTGTAAAGAAAGCGCTATCTCAGCACTCTGCTTTTCCTACTAATTCTGGGTCTTTACTCAAAGACCATCTCTGGGATGGGTCTGCTGACTGTCCTCCTCCTTCCTTTGTACCCTCTCTACCTTCTCCACTACCTACTCTCAAACTGGTCTTAATTAGAGTTGATAACGTTTTCCTCTGAACATTACATTGGGTTGGCCAAAAAGTTAAGTTTGTTTTTTTTCTGTAAGAAGGCTCTTGTAATGCTTAGTTGTCTTTAACTTCATTCAAAACAATTTTGTTAGACTGCATTGTGACAGCTGTCATATCAGCGTGCATTAAAAAGAAAAAAACTTACCAAAATTGGTGAATTTTTGTGCAGCCATTTTAATATTGAAGATGGAAGAAAATAAGCAACATTTTTGGTATATTATGCTTTGTTATTTCAAGAAAGGTAAAAATGCAACTGAAATGCAAAAAAAGATTTGTGCAGTGTACGGAGAAGGTGCTATGACTAAATGTGTCAAAAGTGGTTTGCAAAACTTCGAGCTGGAGATTTCTCACTGGATGATGCCCTACAGTTGAGTAGACCAATTAAAGTTGATAGCGATCAAATAGAGACATTAACGGAGAACAATCAACATTATACTATGTGGGAGATAGCCGACATACACAAAATAACCAAATCAATAAAGCTATTGATGAAAAATGAAAAACGCATCTTTCATGTTATAGAAAAAACTAAATGAACTTTTTGCCCAACGCAATACTATAAATATATCTTCTTAGAGCATTACCTACATTTTATTATATATGTTGTTTGCATGACATCATAAATATTGTGTATTATACATGTGACATCACACAGATACACATACACAAGCCCCCCTTCAAGGGAGCCCCTTGGGAACAGAAACTGTGTTTTATTTATCTTTCTAATCCAGTGCTTTCCACAGAGCCAAGGACAGAAAATAAATGCTGAATAAATAAAAGTTGAATTTTCTCTAGGCTAATAGTAAAAATCCTTCTTGTTTCTCACATTGTTGCACTCTAACCATTAACTTAAGTTGCTCACTTGAGCGGCTCACAGTCTGCAATTCCATTCAGTCAAGAAGGGACCTGATTCCCCCCGTCCTTCTATGTAATGGCTATCAGCATTCTCATTCCCCCAGCTTGCCAGGTGTGACAGGGGACAATATGCTTTAGTGGCTGTGAGAAACCATGAAGGATGTCCCAGCTTTGGACAGTGTGTAAGAAAATAGCTGTATCATCTGTGCTCCATTTCCCTCTCTGTGAAAAAAGAAAAATGTAATATTGAACAACATGACTAAGCTATTGTGAGGTAGTTAATTAGATTTAATGGGGGAAGGGAGGTGAGCTGATTAGGCACTATTCAAAAATCAAAGAATCATTATTTTGTGTCTAAAAATAATCCTGATTTAGGAATAAAATTAATTTGGAAGCTCAATCTTTAGTAATCATATTTCCATACTTAAAAAAAGCAATTTTTAATCAAAATCCCATTCTAAGCACAATTCAATGAAGTAAAAATGGAGATCTATGGATTTCCATTCACCTTTGAAGTAAACAGTACTCAGTTTGAGTTTAATCCTTTCTTCCTCCTTCTTTTTTAAAGATACCATGTGTGTAGAAAGGCTAAGTTTGTGTTATGGAGTAGTTTATGTAAGCAAAATGGATTTTAAACCTATATTAATTATTTGTTGTTTCACATAAAACATCCTAAATTGCTTCTTTATAGAATCCAATAATCAGTTTTGTGGTTGAACTAACTTTTCAGGTCATTTCTGATAACTTCCCATCTATATTTTTGGTGAGGAGCTAGTCAGTGAAAGAAGATATTTGTATTCCCCAAATTTAAAAATAAAATCCCTGGGTATTTAATGTACAGTCTGAGACTCTGAAAAAAATATAAAGAGTAATCATTAAAATTAATATAATAGACTATTTTACTATGAAAATCTTCACAAGAATTGGAAGATGGTACTTGAGAAAAATCTGAATTGTTGCCTAAATCTCACTTAAGAAACTTACAGTATTTTTTTTAAAGGGGAAGCGCATCCTTTAAAAATGTAACAGTTGACAATGCTGATAAATATACCCTATCTGTTAGGAAAAAAATGTTACACGCAGTTTTTATTGAGTGAAGTATTTTGGCTATAAAGGAATTTTCCAAAGGAAATGTAGACAACAGAGTCCACTTAGTAGGAACACCTTCGCTACAGAAAAGCAGGAATAATTTTCCTTTGCTTTAACACAGCCCTATTAAAACTGCCTATAAGACCTGAAAATTCTCATAATTTAGACTGTGTACTCACCAAGCAAACTTCTGGTTATTCATTCGATTTCCCCGGACTCTTGATACTGGGGATGGATGTACCCTGTAGGTAGATAAGAGTAATCCAGTCACTGAAAAAGCAGATTGCTGATTACAAATGAACATATAAAGAGTAATCTGGTTTATAAATCATCTCTTTTAGATTTGCCTACCATAGAATCCCCTAGAACTGGCGGGCATCTTAGTAAATAGATGCAGTTAAATTCTCTGCTTGCAAACCTGTAGAGTATGTCTTTTTCCTTCTTTATCACTTGTAACGTAACAAGAGTTTGTCTCATATGTTCACTGTGAAGAAGCCTCCAAAACAGGATCACCAGTTTTAATCAATTGATTTCTTTCATTCGATCCAACAAAAAGTACTGCCTATTCCTCGCCAGGTTTAGGAGTGGGTCAAAAGAATACAAAGTATGGTACTTGCCTTCAATGAGTCCTTTTTGCTACCTCTTCCCACAGGGAAGACAGGTAGGTAAGAGAGAGTCTAGGTGCACACTTCCTCAGTTAACTTCTAGACTTAAAAAAGCAAGAAGGGAAAGGGGATAGGATATGTCACCAAAACATGCTACTCTGGCACGAGGATTATTTTGAGCTAACGGGTCTCCGAGAAGCAGCACACACAGGAGGAACCTCTCTCTCTGCCCTTGAGGGGCTTAAGAGCAGGGCGTAAACTTATCTTTTGTAAAGAACACTTTCACTTGTAAAGGTTTCCCACTTTCCCATACCAGGAAAAGTAAGTAGTATAATGTATAACTCTTATCACCAGAGATGGTACTGAACTGAGTCTGCATAAAACCCCTTTATTTACCATTATTTTCCCCATACATTTCCTAGTCACCTTCTTACAGTTTACCTCCCTAGAAGCTTAGACCCCTTTTCTTTTGACTAGTCCTTTCACCACACTTTATTATCCTTTGTTGAAACAGTATATAAACTCCAAACTCTAATCACCTTTTGAGTTACTTATCACTGAGTACTTCTACATGAATGCATGTTGCACATAATTTTTTTTCCCTCTTGATAATCTGTCCTTTGTGAGTTTAATTTGCAGGCTCCCGGCCCCCACCAAGGAACGAGAAAATACAGGAAAAGTGTCTCCCTCCAACCCCAGATATTTCATCCAAATGTCCAGGAGCAGAATCTGTCAGAATGGGAGACAAAGGAAGGGCGGACAGTTATTTCTAGGCAGACCTTCTGGACGTGATGCTCTACAGCTTCACGCTTTGAGGAAGGCGAAGTCAATTCAAAATTTTAGCTAAATAATGGAGGAGTAAAGACTGTACTGTTTTATAAGCTTTCAGGACTGGAGTCATCTACTGGAAACAGTTTAAATTTCCTGCACCTGATGATATCTTCCAATCACGAGCTAGCTGCTGAACCTCCACCTCTTCATGGGTCTAACTGGCAACACAATACGCCCTACTTCCTGCTTCCTTGTGGCCAGCTTCCTGCTTTGTTCTCTCTCTACTAGGACTTGTGAGATCTAGGCAGGATTTTGGCTTGTGTCTCTTTACTTTTTATATCCCAGACATTACTCTTATTTACAAGACAAGGAAGAAAATAGGGTTTTTAAAACTCCTATTAAAGTCCCGTTAGAACCAAAAGCTCCAATGTTCATTAGAACCCCAGTTCTCCAAAGGTGTTTGGCAAGTGAAAGCCATTTCAAAACAGATAATACAGCTCTAGCCCCTCTGAAGAGCCAACTGCAGTCTTTCAGTAAGTCCAGAGCCAGAAGGCTTATTTCTTCCAACATCCTTATTAACATTCTTTTCCTCACAGCACTTCTCAATGGCCGCTGCAGCTGAGCTGCTCAGCACAGATTTTCTGCTCGGCATGGGGGAGGGGACGTTAATTATGCAGGAAAATGGAGAGAAGCCAGACAGCCCCTCTGGTGAACTGTCTCATTCAAGCAAGGCCCACTTCCTGCTGTTTTGCAGCTTCAAGGATCACCTGTTGGTCTTGGCATAGGGCCAAAGTGGGGCCCAGCGGAAATGACAGCCTCAGATAGAAAGGAGAGCCTGCTCAGGCTCCAGTATCCCAAACTGGGGAGAGAGAGAGAAAAAATAACAACAACAAAAAAAACACTTCATAAAAACGCATAAGAATTTTACAAAAGGTAGGAAAACTCATTTTTCGTTTTTCTTCTTTCAGCCTGTCTCCTTGAAATACAATCATCAAAATGCAACTGTAAGCCGAAACATGCCCCCCTCAGTCAGGGCCCCTGTCCAGGGAGTCTGGGAGGACTGTAGGAACCCTCTCGAACCTCCCCGACGTCCCCACTGGGTGTCACAGTCATACTGCCCCAACCAAGTCTGAAAAAGGAATAGCCCGAATGCGGTTATTTAATTCAGTCCACAGCCTTTACATGCTTACCTGTTACTGTTTCCTCCTTAACCCTACTGTTTCTATTTATCATGATAATTCCACCAGTTAAAGTTTGACAATAGATATATTCTTTTATTGATGGATCTCATTTCATGTATCAGTGGAGAAAAATAGGCCTGTTTAACCTATAATTACAATATTCCCTAGATATCTAGTGATCTAGCCACATATCAAATACTACTAGCAGATAATTTCTGCAAAAATTTGTCTTCAAAGAAGTCCTGATTTTGTGCGTGTGTGTGACCCAACAATTATAAAGTTTCTGAAATTAAAATGATAAAACAAGAAAGCTTTTTCCCCCTTTCCCCAAATTAGTAAATTGATAACCTGAAATTCACTTCCTCTGATACAGCCCACCACAAAGGTTTACATTTCAGCTACCTCCCAAATTTTATGTCTTCAAAAGGCTATGCAGTGTTTGCGTGAGCTCAGTCTTTAAATTGTGACACTTTTTGCCATGGCCTACCTTCTTTCCACAAATAGCAGCCAGGCAGGTAACAAAGTCAAAACCCCAGTAGGAGAAACCACCACCTAATCCGCACGTCATGCATTATTCATGACCCCCTGATTCCTGCACCTGCATCCAGGCAGGAAGCTTGCAGGGAACTTTCATTATTCTTCCCTTCGCCCCACACAGGCCTGATTACTGCTAAGCCACTTTGTTCTGTAGCTAAAGGTTTCAGGCCTCAGTACTAACTGCTGGATGTGGAAAGAAAAAAGAATCACCACGTTGAAGAAAAGGGCAATCTTTGCTGTTGTGTAACATGTATTGAATCCTACAATGTACTCTTCTGAGATGGACAGTTTATGTCAGGTGGATATGCTCACACTGGTGATTTACATTACCCAGAAAAAAAGGAAGCTCTACCATGGAGGCCATGTGCACCAACTGTTCTCTTTATATATGCTTAACTCGAGTATCTGAGGCAGACAGCATGTTTATAATTTTACCCAGCGCTGGGCTTTCTATAGTTTCCCTGTTAAGCACTTGAGACCTTCTTAGATAGCTTAATTCAGAAATGACTCTTCCTTCTTTGGGTATAAGCACCAAAGGACTTAACCCTCAAGTCTCGTATTTTGATGACTAATAGTTATAGTTAAAAGACTACGACCACTCTGTTTTTCAAAGTTTTCATGAACCTACCCCAACAGCTGGTGGCTGGAGGTGGGATGTGAACCTGGACACCCAGCTCACAGGTCACGGAGGAACTGCAGGGAAGGGTACCTACCAATCCTACTTTTTTACTCTCCCTCGTGGAAAAGCAGTGACAACTTAAATTCAATCTTGCAGCCCCCAGTAGAATGAGTGTGAAGCGGTAAAAGAGTGCAAACTGTGTCACAAGGCTGCCTGGGATGGAGTTCCAGCCCCACCATTTGCCAACAGTGTCATCCCAGGGCAAGTTACTTAACCTCTCAGGGCCTCCGTTCTCTCATCTGTACAAATGGAGGCAACAACGATAGCTGCCTCCCAGGGCTGGGAGACTTCAACGGGTTAATAGTTGTCAAGTGCTTGGAATAGTGCTTGGTACCCAGGAAGGAGCTGATAGATGTTAGCTATTCTCACTAGTAGCGCTGATTACACTGGAAGGGATGGGAAGATGGAACTGGAATATCTGGGTCCTTCCAGCAACCAAGATAACAAATGTGCTCTACAGAGGCTGCAATCTTAACTGTTCTGCTTATATGGCTTTACTAAAGATGAGCTAACAAAGAGAAATGAACACATAGAGAGTAACATGAACCAAACACTGTGGTTTCTAAGATATGTCTTACTCTCTGCTACCTCATTTTTCTGTTGGGTTTTAGAAGACCTATCTTCTGTTTGCTAAATTGCATAGTGTTTCAGTTATATCTGATTCAAGAACAAGTCAATAATCATAACAATATGAAAATCACTCCCATTTACTAAGATCTTACTATGTGCCAGGTGCCATGTTTAATGTTAGACACTCTAACGTTATGCTCATACTTATCCACATTTTAACTTTGAGGGAATAGGTTTAGAAGAGTTAGATTACTTTCCAGGATACAGAGCTAGTGTGAACAGCAAAGTCAGAACTTGAACATAGGTATAGTTGACCTGACCTACTCCAGATTACCTTCCATTCCTATGAACACCTATACGGGGATGGGCAAAAGTAGGTTTAAAGTTGTTTGCATGGAAAATACAATAATTAATAATATGAGACCAAACTCTGTGCTTCACGTACTCACAACTACAAACCTACTTTTGCCCACACCAGTATAATCCCTCCACACTATCCTAGAGGATGTATGCAATAGAATAGATTAGCACTAAGGGCTTCACTGAGAGATTTAGCATTTATTTAAGTCCAATCGTGCATTCTATAGTGTAAATAGACACAGTGAAAATACAGGTTTTTTTGGCCTAAAATCGGCACCAGAAACAATAGCAAGCTTGTGGGTCCTTACAAGAAATATAGCCATAGTAATATATTATATACTGTGTTTTTCCCTTAACTGTTTATGAAAATTCCTTGATACTAGTATTGCTGTTGAAACACAAAATGTGTAACACATGGAAGTTTTAGGTGGTGAAATTGATTCCAGCTACATCCACTTCCTTTCTTCTTATTTTTTCTAGGACGCAATCCCATTCGTGTCCACAGCCCTCTGGTGAAATTATTCTTGCCATCACCGTCA